TTGAACCAATGATAGTTCTTTTGTTAGACGGAAGGAAATCACGGTCAAATTCGAGCCAGACTGATTCACATTTGGACACAGAAAACGCTATATCAGTACGTCGTTTATATGACAATACGTTAGAAATGAACATGGCTGATCCACCATGATAGTCACCGAGGCGATGAAAAAATTCAGCACGATAGCCCGGAAAGGAAAACATGTTATCATCAGCTGCAGATAGCCATGTTTCTGATAGACATATGAGCGAAAAGTGATGATCGGTTAAAGAAAGGAAATTAACCATATCATCAAAGTTTTTCGGTAACCTTCGGGTGTTAAAGTGCATGATTGAAATATGAGAAACAATTGAACTAAGGAGTTGTTTCAGTTTGAGGACAGTGTGTGTCGCCATGATGGTTCAGAATCATCATGCTTAAATGCTTAAATGCTATTTGGAAAAAACGGCCAGATCACTAACGCCAGAGATGCGGTACACTTGGCTGTCCTTGGACTTTCTTGCTTTGATGCGGCAGTTGTCAACCCATAGGAACTGCCACTGCTTTTCTTTCTTAAGTGCCAATTCCTGAGCAAAGAGCCGCTTGTTTTTTGGTATTAGGTGATCGTTGACAAATATGGGCTTATCCTGATTCATCACGGCGATAGACCGGGTTGTCAGACGCGCTTTTCTGGCCTTTGAAGCAAATTCAGCCTTTTTTTGTTGTGAACAAAAACGCGCAATAATATTCGAGCCACTTTTAGCGGGGACCCTATGCACCACATCTATCTCAGCAGGGCTCACAGGACAACCAATCTTATTTGCGATCTATTGCAGAATTGCTTCACAGCTTTCGCCTTTTGTCTCCGGAACACCTTTAATTTCAACATTGTTCATGCGCGAATAATGCTGCAATTCAGCAACCTGTTTTGTTAGCTGCTCGTTTGTTTGAGACAGCTCTTTATTTTCTTTAACCAGGCTTTTCTGCTTAGACTTCATTGTTTCAAAAATGTCATTAAACATGGCAACACTGTTACGCAACTCTCCCGCTTCTTTGCGTAATGATTCCATTCTCTAGATAGCTCAGCATAAGAGGGCATTTTGGTTTGGCAGCAATGGGTGCGGCAAAAAAGAAAAGTGAAATTGTTTTCAGTAATGGAAATTCAACCAACCTGCGCACGCAAGAGAGAATGCAGTCAGCGGAATGCTGTGTTGCCGCCAACCCAGCTGCCAAGTGAAGGGTTCCGCGATGAGCCCAGCTTATATAGCTTCCTGAAGAAGGTTCTGTTGTAGATGGACAGGTGGCGTTGGTCGGAGGTGGCAAGTGGCACTGTGATGATACAGCCAGGCCGTTGATTCCTTCGTGCTAGGAGCACACACTTCTATTGACCGCTTTACAGTGCTGCGGCGGATTCGCGGTGATTTCGCGCCGGATCCGTAGATACCTGTGCACGCAAGAGAGAATGCAGTCAGCGGAATGCTGCGTTGCCGCCAACCCAGCTGCCAAGTGTTCCGATAAGGCAATACCACCTTTGGCAGCGGCACGAATACAGCGTTGGGCTCTTTTACTCGGTGGCTATAAGTACTGCATTCAGTACAAACCAGGAAAGGACTTGATTGTGGCCGATGCATTGAGCCGTCTACCCACACAAATGCCACACGATGACAAGACAGTGAGGTCAATATTGAAAAACGAATGAGAGTACTTGCTCTTCGCAAACCAGCTTAACACTGGACTGATGTCTTCCGGAGAACTGGCCGATTTAACAGCATGTGATGTTATGCTGAAGCCGGTTATGTGTTACATTCGCGAAGGTTGGCCAAAGAAATTGCCGTCAACACAAAAAGCATTGCAGCCTTTGTTCCAGAAGAAAGATAAGCTGACTTGCAGCCATAGTCTTGTTTATTGGAGCCATCGGGCCGTGATACCCGCCGAAGCTCAGAAATCAATGTAACAGGTGCTGCGTGACACGCATCAAGGCATGACAGTGATGGAAAATCTGGCTCGGGCACTTTTCTGCTTCTCAGGGCTTGACAAAGATATCGCTAGCATTGTGCTCGCATGTGCAGTGTGACAGCAAAACAGTAGCATGCCACGTGCAGAAGAGCCAGTTCCGTGGCCGGACACCTTTGAGGGATGATTGAGAATCCACATTGACTTTGCTGGACCAGTGGAAGGGCGAATGTTGTTGATTGTAGTGGATTCTCATACAAAATGAATCGAGGTTGTTCTAATGAAAACAGCCAGCACAAAAAACACTATCGAAGCCTTGCAGATGATTTTCAGCAGGTTTGGACTGCCATGAACAGTCGTTTCCAACAATGGGCCCCAGTTCACAAGCAGACAGTTCCACCAATTTATGAAAGACGATAGCATCGTACATTTACGGTCTCCTCCATATCACCCGTAATCCAACGGGCTGGCAGAGAGGGGGGTGTGAACGGTAAAAGAAGGGTTGCGAAAAAACGTGCACGGGACTCTATAAAGGCACCTGCCTGGCCTGCTGGTTACTGTGTTATCGGCGCACCCCTCTCCAAAACGGAAAGACGCCAGGCTTCATGCTTCTGGGTTTTGAACCACGTTCACTGTTGGACAATATTGTGTCACGACCTTTTTTTACCGCAAGCTCACTTCCCCGCAGACATTCGGCTGGAGAACCCATATGATGCAAGAACTATGGGGCAGGCGCCAGTTGGAGACGTGCAGTGATGCAGACTACGAGGGGTGCCCGCCTAAGCACGGTCAGAACGGAGGACGGGGAGCTCTGTGAGCGCCATGAAGATCAGCTAAGATACTGCTTTGAGAGGCAGCCTCCAACGCCGTCGGATGGGGAAGAGGAAGTGTTGGCACCAACCAACGTAAACGCAGATCCGCGAGCAAGCTTTACACTTACCAGACCTACTCCTTTGCAGGTTGAAGAGCATGATACAGGACCTGCTACCACTATAGTCCCTGAACAGCCTGACATGCGCACCGAAAATAATGAACCCCTGGACAACCCGCTTCGCAGATCAACTTGGCATCGCAAGGCACCAGACCGTTTCTAGATGTCCCCTTAAGGGAGAGGAATCGTTGTGATGTCAGCTGCCACCAAGAGCGCATGCGTGAATGTCAGTGACATGATGTCACACTAGAGTTGCCTATTTAACTAACTCAATAAACCTGTGTTAATTCTTGTTTTACCATCCATTACTTCAAAGCAGACCGAAACATGCAGTGCGCTGCTCACGCACAAATGACGCACGAGAAGGTCACATATAGGACGAGAGCGAACTAACAACGTTTACCGCTCAAAATGTAACGCGCTGTTTAAACAAAAACGAGGCACGAAATATGATCACAGGTACTGATATGAGTGCGAACCAACAATGTGCCCCAGTTGTTACTTTGCTGTGTTTCAAAAGCACACTCTTTTCGCAAACGGCGTCTGTCCCGCGAGCGAAGTGATCTTTGTGTGCCCGGCAACCAATTGCAATCGTTCCGGTCAAAGTCGAAGGCGCACGATTCTCTTCACTGAAGGATAAGGGCACGCACACAAGCATCTAATTCCCCCCCCCCCCCTCTCCATTTTCGGAGCAAAATACGCGTGGGAGATAAGCGCTCATCAACGCATCGTGACGAACTGGGTGCCATGCCCGGGCAGTTTTTTTTCCTTGAGTTTTCATATATATGTGAATGGCAGCGGTGATGAAAAAAAAAAAAAAAAGAAACAGCCGAGACTGTCCATATAATTGCTATCACAATAACAATAAAAAAAGCAAAGCTGAACGTCGTCGGGAGCCGCATCATGCGTGCGCAGTGAAACTATGCAGGCGGGTGCGGCGTCAAAAACGAAGAGCGAACGAAACGGACACCGCGGGAAACTATTCGGTAAAGCGCCCTCCATGTGCAGAGCTGCCCTGCATATGTGACGCTGACTAAAAACGTGGATCTGCCAACGCACAAAGGTAGTTTTCTTTTTTTTTTATTTTGGTTTGGGGGGGGCACACAATCGTGCGTGCCAGCTCGTGAGGTGCAGGCCCACCTCGCGCTCACCCAACCGCACCCAATAACAAGCGATCGTTCTCGCCTGGTGCGCCGTGTGTGTCGCTGCCGCTTCGTCAGCGGCGGGGAAGCCGCGGGACATGCATGCTCGTGCCAATATGCGGAGTAAAATTCCTAGATTGTTCGTGGGGAAAATTTGTTATATCAAGGGTGTCTTCCCACCGTTACTTTGTTACCTAGAGTTGGCAAATGCATGTGTTTCTATGAAGCAATGGTGGGGAATAGAAAAACTATGTTATATCGAGGAATTCGTTATATGGAGGTTAGTTATAAGTAGGTTTAACTGTATTTGCCCTTATCCTTTAAGACTCTCACCTGAGTAGGAAACCCACTTGTATTCGGCCACTCTAAGCCATTATAAAACCACTACCCGGCTGTTCACGCTTGTGATGGGGACCCCCCTTCCAATTGTTTCTCGCTATGTTTTTTGTTTGCTTTTGGTTCCCAAAAAAAATGGGAGCTGATAACTCAGCCCGGGTGCATGCCTGTATAAAATTTTGTCTAGTTTGATGCCCAAAGATTAGAAAGTATAGTTTAAACAGGCATGAATTTTATGCTTAAATTTTAGTTGAAGCAAGCACGGTACAGCATATTGTTTGATTTAATAGTCAAATAAACTGAACAGAGATAAATCAAGCAAAAAGTTTGCCATAACATTTAGACTGTTTCATTGAAATGAGATGCAATCAGTTTATGAAAATAGGAAGGGAAGCTGAATGTCTGTCTGCAAAATAATAATTTTAATGTACGGCAAGCATGTTGTCATATTTTTTGTTCCACAAACTTGGTAACCAGAAACGAGCCACGGTTTAATGTTATTGAATCTTGTATTAGTTGGTGCATCAATTTCAAATAGTATGCTCCTTGAAACTTGAAGCTCGCTTCTGTACATGTATGCCTGTGGCCACGAACTGTGCTGTGTCTGCGGGTGTCACACTTTGGTGGCCCAGAGAGTGTTGACACTACCCACCACCGCAGGGGACGGACATCTATGACTCGAAGCATGGCACCTTTGTGGACCTGGACATCCTAGACGTAATGCAGATCTTCGGCCGGGCAGGCCGGCCCCAATTCGATAAGGAGGGCCATGGCACCATTATAACGACACATGCCAAGCTCAACAAGTACCTGTCGCTGCTCACCTGCCAGTTTCCTATTGAGAGCAACTTTCACCAGAATCTGGTGGACAATCTCAATGCTGAGGTGGGTTTCTTTCTTTGCGAACTAGCCATTATAGTGGAGTGGCTGGCCCAGCATGTTGGAACAGGTTTAGGGCAGAAGTCCCATTGCACATCTGTCTGTAAGTAAACCAGTGCTTGAAAAAACCTGCCTAGGTTGTATTGACACACAATGTTGGTGGTAATAGCGCCTGTTAGTCCTATTTTACTCACAAGTACTCATGCTAAGCTTCTTGAGCATCTCATTTTTTATTATTCTTTGTGCGCTTGAGTTATTAGTTAATTTTAGATTCGAAATGGCTACGAAGCGCATAGTGATCTGGTTCAGATCATTCTTAATTAAATTTGAGTAGTATATATCACATCATAAAAATAAATTAGCACATTTGTCATGACCCAACTAACTACACAGTATATTTTTTTCTAAATTGAAGCAGGCACATCTGCAAATTCCGTTCTTTTTTCGCACAGACGACTAAGTGCGACGGATAAAATATGTTGCATTTAGTGATGCTACTGCTGTGCCAATTGCCCAAACTGCGCCGAATCGCCCTAGCTGCTACACGCTACATTTCCTAAAAATTTGGCGAGTCTGCGCTTACCTGCGCCAAAGGGCATGCTCCAACTTTCATAAACGAAACTACTTGAGGTTGTCCTGTTGGAAATCACATTGCGGTGCGTCTGCATAAGATGCAACCTAAGCCAAGCCAAACTGGGCCAAATGTCACTGTTATGAACATGGATGGTTGAAATGCAGTGAATGCCCGATTTTTCATACTTTCTAGGGACCACAAAATCGTTTGAAAAAAAGATTCATGACTTTTTATTCCGCTCAAGTAATCAAACCTCCACATCCCCGTCTGAAGTAGCTTCAATGCCTCCTAGAGTATACTTATCAGGCATTTCGGTGTACGTTATGGCTGTCGTAAATGGGCCTGCCGATGTCCATTTGCAAATATTCATCACGTGATGAGCGCTGTCGATACTAGCAAAGCGCGGAATAAGTTGCGGATTTATCGCACGGCGAGTGTGGAAACGATGACGCAGAACATAAAGGATGTGGTAGAATAGAGGAATACTTGTTCCGGCTTCCGCGATGCTTTTGTGCACACAGAAGATTTGCCACTGTACGATGTAGTGTACACAGTGGGAAAAGCAAATGGGCTTATCCACGCCACATGCAAGAAGTACTACACAGGTTGCCGCGAGCACGTCTCTGTGCGCAAAGGTTTGCTCAAGCGAGGGCAAAGTCGCTCGCGTTGGCTTCGAGAGGTACGGGTCGGCAAAGTTTAACCACGCACTAGGATGCTGCGCTGCTCTACGGCCTAGCATTCGCAAGGGGCAACAAAAGGTAAGCGTTCGCCATGACGCAAGGCGGTGTTGGCGAATCGTGAACGAGCCCCAAACAAAGGGAGCCGACGGACGGAAAAGAAATGCGTGCTTACCCCACGTCATCACGGAGATGTTCTTTCTCACTTCCGACGCGCGGACGCGAAACGTCCCGAGAGACTCTGCGCATGGCACCACAGTCAACACCCACTACTGGGTGAGAGGGGTTCAACGTCACTCCCCACTCCCCCAGTGTGGCAGACCACGAAAAAGGTGGAGTCATGTTGGGACATGAGAACGGCAGAAATAGGCGGCAAAGCTTGCGCACTGGCGGCGGGCTAGCTTCAATTCCTACAATGAAAATCTCCGGCGACATGTATTACTTGGGGCCACACAAGACCGATCGTTCCTAGTTTTGTGCAGCAATCATCTACACAGCTGACGCTGTTCCTATTGAGGCGGTTTCGTACGCACGTGTTTGTCATAAAAAAGTGTTCTTGATGCCCACTCTGTTTCTGATCGCACACGGGTGCGGCGATGGGGAGCTGCTTTCGTTCGTGAATGCGCACTTAGCCGTGTATGCGGTGCACTTAGTCGATTCGCACAGGAAGGCTGCGTGGACGGCGGCTTGCATGAGTGCTTAAAAGCGTGCAGTACGCTAACAACTGCACCACAAGAAGTAACAAGCAGTTAGCTGAAGATGCTTTTCATAAAGCGATAAGCACAAAGTGTTATTGGCGTGTTTGTCGTATTGCCGCCATGATGCTTTCGAGCATTTCTGGTGCTTACCCCTTAGACAGCACCTCACTTCGCCGTAGTAACGGCTCCTTCTAATTTTTTTTTAATCTGCTTCACCACATAGCATTCATGTATTACAGCAAGCCAACTTTCGGATATTAGTGTCACGCAGACTGATTGTTGAAAGCACTCGTTTTAGCCAAAGAGGTCATAGACATAGCAAAGGTAGGGACTTTAAGGGGGGACATGGGTCTTAGGGCTCTCTTTTATTTTTGAACCAAATTTGACAAAAGTTGGCATGCTTACTTAGTTTGTTCTCTTAATTCTAAAAATGTAGTTATTTTTTCTGTAGCTTCATTAGTTAAATAAATAATCAAGATAACAATTCCTATTGTTCTTACCGCAATAGAAAAATAACCACCTGTCAAAATTTTATAAATGACATAGGGACTCACAGTAGAAAGCATGACATAGAGCATAGGAAGCGCTTTTTTGATTGGGTCATTATTTCTTACTTTACAATACACTAAACTTCACAGCTCTGAATGTGGTCATTGTGTGGTCACACAAAAGACTAGTTTAAAAAACTTGTATCAAGAGAAATCAGAATCTGCTTCCTATGTTGTGTGCTCTAAACATATAGATTCATGCTGCAAAAAAAAAAATATTCTGCCATCTGTAATAGTTTCCAATATATTGTAGTAATTTTCATGCAGGGTGCCATTTAGAGAAAATGAAGAAAACAAAGAATTCTAACATTCTTTAACTGTAAAAATGTATGTACTTAGAATTACGTAGCCATTGACATATATATGAATGCTAGAAAGCCTAAGGAGTGCAACGCTGCAAGCTGATCGAAAATTGAACGAGTACTTCTCGAATTACAGCACAATGAAGTTCATTGCATGTAACCAAATACAGAAATTTTTATATTAAAATAAGAAAATGAAACTGCCCATTAAAAATAGCCTCCCAGCATTGTTTTTGTGCACATTTAGCTACATTGTGCAAAAACAATTACAGCTCTAGCTGTCCTAGGTCCACTTTTACCGAACAAGCAAAAGAAAGTGAAAATTTGTGCTTCGAGAATAATGCTGTTAAAACTTTACTTCGCCATTCCGAGAGAAAAATATCATGGCACACATACTTTTAGTCAGTTAATATGCACCGGGAATGTAATAGGACTGATCGTTTGCACGAGCGTGTCGTTTCTTCTAGTCCTGTAGCAAGTTGTCGCTATGTGCTTGTCTGCCGCGAGGTCGCTTATCAGTTCGGTGACTGTACTGGCGGCGATGTGCGACAAATGTGCGCGCGTCATCCGCGATCCATCGAATAACACAGCGATGTTTTCCGGCTTGTCCAGAATGAGTTATCCATAAATGTCACGAACCAAGGTTGCTCCCTCGCTCATCAATTTCGAGGCTACACGAGTGCCGAGTTGTTTAGCTTCCTTTTCACGTAAGACTGCCACATTTTCGAGCGAAGATCGCGACAACGTTGCGAACACGTCGTATAAAAGCAATCTACCTGTTGCCAGTAGCCTCTATTGCGGGGGCGGCGAGCATGTTCACCGCGAACAGATTGACTTTTTGCTCGTCGACGCTCAGCTTAGTCCACTCTGACGACCTGTCGTGCAGTTCAAGGTCCTTTCATCAGGCGGGGGGAACCGCGGCATCAGCGCGTTCAGCGATAAGACTACGCTTCTGTTCCGTCAGTGCAAAGATTGATATCTCTTGTAGCTTCACTTCTGCTTTTTACTTGTCGTCCTCTAACTGATGAGGCTGCAAAACACATTGTCGGCAACCAACAGGCTCGTACGTGAGTTAGGCCTATACCGGTGACTCGGCGACCGCTGTTGACCGCGTCGAGTTCGTTATCCTCATTGTCCTGAGCCATAGCGGGCTCTTTCTGAAGCTCACAGCGAACGACAAATCACTGTAGCACAGAACTTTTTTACTGCCACAGGCAGTCAGTAGCATCATGACAAAATGGCGCATGTACGTGCGCATCACGATGGTGAAGCAGACGCTGAAAGCGCTCCTTGGCCAATCGAATGCCTAGGTTTTGTCACGTGCCCCAAGTAGCCAATTGAATCGCGCGCTAGTGCTTCTCGATGACGCGTTTTTTTCTAAAAAACCAATGATCAAGGCGAGCCAGTGGTGGCGGGAAATTGAAGATGAAGAACGACCCTTCCAAACAAGACCAAGATGAACACGATAGCTCGGGTGTAACGGCAACAGTTCGGCGCGGAAAAAGTGCGATTTGAGTGTCAATATACATTCACATTCATTTCACAGGGATGTTATAAATTGATTTTGAATTGAATGAAATTGAATAAAAGAATGAAGAATGATAATTGAATGAAAGAAATAATGACGCAAGGAGCTAGAAACTACTCAGATAGGTGCAAAAATGGGTACAGATTCCGAAAATGTCAGCTTCAGAAAGTCTATTTTTTGTGATTTTCGGCCTTCTAAGATCCATGTCCCCCCTTAAGTAATGCTGTTTCATACCTGGAATGTCAGCTTGGACACATTCGACGCCATAGAGTTTTAGCGCCGAAATTTGAGATCCTCTTATCCATAGATGTCGATAGGGCTTGTGGTGCTGTCGTGAAATGGTCTGAGTTTACAAGCAAGTCTGAAAAATCTGGCTTCCGAAAAAACGGCAGTCAACTGTCTTCAGTCACGTTATAATGAAGTGCTATAATTTTAAATTTTTTATTGGCTTTGTCTATAAATATAGTCAGGTTATCTGTCGGTGATGTAATTTTTCTTCTTTTTTACTCTATAATGCTTGAATAGCACACAGCACATTCTAATTTTATCATTCGTGTGTCATGAGCATAGATTTAAAAAAATTGGCCCCGTATCTGCATGTTACACTGCAAATGTCGTTGAAAGACATTTGGAGACGTTTGCGTCTGGAGAGAGTGAACAAAACGTTTATTTGATGTTC